AGACACACTTTGCTATAGCATAATTTCATTCCTAGTCAGGAATGATAAAGAAAATACAGATAATCCTTTCATGTACAGAAAACTGTTGATATTTTGGTATTTAAACTTAGATATTTACTTTCCTTAGAAAATGAGTTTATGCTGTTTTGTAATTTATTCTCACCTAATACTGTTTTTCATGTCACTAAATATTACTCATCTATAACATCATTTTTAAAATATAGGATTTGATTTTTCTAATATAACAGAAATTTCAGAGGTAGGCAAATTTGGGCAGGTCTTAAAGCTCAGCCATAGCTCCTTTGCAAGCTTTGGTTTCAGGCTCACACTTTTTTTTTTTTTTTCAGGCTCACACTCTTTTAATGTATAATACTTCTTCACTGCCTTCCCCTACTTTTCCCCTCTATTCATTTTGGATGTCTGAAACTCATTTTCTAGTAAAATGCTCAGGAAGAACCTTTAGGAACATTATTTCTTAAATTCTTGAATGTTGAAAACAGTTTGGGAACATAGATTGGGAACATAGATTTATTTAACATAGATTTATTTATTTATTTATCCATACATACAAGCCAGAGGTGAGGGGCAGTGAGAGGATTCACCAAAGGCAGATCAATGAAATACACTGCTGAGGGGAGCAGCGGGGGGGACAGGAGAGGAATGTCAAGCCCATGTGGTCTCCTCCGGGGAAGGCGGGGATCGAACTCATGTGGAAGTGGCTTTAGCTTTTCAGTGCAGTGCTTTAACCCGCTGTGCCACCAGGGAGGGCCTCAAGGTAGTGGTTTTAAGTCCATTCAGTTAATTGCTGAGATTTTATGATTGTATCCTAAAACATAGGATTTTGATCAAGTCAGAGGGCACTTTTACATGTCAGTTGTTTACCCACCTAACACCTTCATAAGTCAGTTTATATTTTGTGTTATTATAAATTTCTCCCTGTTTACTATTGAAGGAATAAGCTAATGGAATTATTTGAAATTGAGAGTTTTTAACTCTGTTTTTGGTATCACAAAGGTCACTTTTAGTAATACTCACTTACTTATTACCTCAGCTAGTAGAGCCAGTGCCTCTCTTCTAAAGGGCCACATACTTATATCTGACCTCATAATTTCTTTTTGACTCAGTTCCAAATTTGTTGAAGGGAAATCCAGATAAATAAATGATTGAGAAGACACCCTAAAAAAAAAATCTCATACCACAATGTTGGAATAAGTATAGGTCTTGTTAATAAGTGAAAACTATGCCTATTGAATAGGTGAGAGTGGTAGTATAATGATTCTGAAAGTATTGAGGGAGAAAAGAAACTAATATGAAGCTTTGGTTCAGTACCAAATCAGCAAAAATGGTATCTGATGTGGGCTGGGACTTCTCTTGATTTAAAAGTATCAAATGCAAGGTTTGGCCATCTCATTTCTGGGCGGAGAGCAAGTCCATAAGGTGACTGAACTGTGTTAGATATCAAATACAGTCAACCCTACTTATGTTTTGGTTTAGGTTTCTACCTTGGATGGAGTTTTGGAAGTCCGAAATGAACATTTTTGGACCTTAGGTTTTGGCACATTGGTATGTTTTCTACACATTACTTTAGTTATAGTTTATGATTTTTTTCACTAAACATAGTATTTCACTGACATTTTTATAGAGCATTTTGTTCCATTTGTGTTCAGTAGAATCTAAAATGTAGATGGATTTAGAAACTTAGTTGAGATTGAGGAATGTTTTCAGTTTCAATTTTCAAACCATTGTTAATAGTGTTAATACTACATTGTTCAGATAAGATAAATACAAAGTCACAAAATCCTAAAATAAAAAAAATGTTGCAAAAGCAAACAGTACAATTATTTTTACTTTTTTAAAGATTTATTTACTTATGCATACAAGAATAGCATGTAAGCCAGAGGGTGTGTGTGTGTGTGTGTGTGTGTGTG